ATCCTTTTGTGGGCAGGAGGTCACACAAATGCACACACACACACACACACACACACACATTCTCACACATGCATACACGTACACACACGTACACACACATAGTGCCTTATCTTTTGCAACCATTGGGGGGTTTTACAATGGGAGGTGCTTCTGTGTACTGTAACTGTTTTCAATAAAAGGCGGCAAGCGGAGGCCTAAGGTGGGGTCAGTCTGTGGTTGGATTCAGAGCACTTTTCTGAGACACTGACCGGGGCCTCCCTTGCTAGCATGTAAAATCGATCGATCGCTGATTGTCTAGTTTCTTTTGTTAACAAGAATAAGTTTCTAAACCAGCGGGGCCTGTGGAAGCACAGACCCAACATCAACTTTCACCAAACACTATTTTAGTACCTGTACTTCTACCTAAGTGATTGTGATTGAACAGAATACTATATGAATGACTCAGTGTGACTGAATTCATGGAGCCAAACATCATATCCATGTTGGACACTAAGACAATTCACTGGTCTACAATGTGTAACATGCAGATGGTTTTGAAAAGAACAAATGTAAAAGGAGTTGTTGTACATGTACAGACCACAAATATGGATTTCAACTGTATTTTATGCTGCTGGGCAGACTGACCACGGGGAACCTCCAGGAACTCCTGGCCCACACTGTGGAGGAATCATGAAAAATCTGTTTACATAATCTCTCCATATTTTTTTTAGCTTTTTCAAAAATATTTTTAGCACAGTTTTTTGTGAAGTCAAAAATTAATCAAAGACAAAACACAGAACAAATAAAACATATTTTTTCTGACTGGGAATGCAAGTCAATAACTAATAAAACAATTTGTACATTTTTTTTATTTTTTACTTTCTTTTTGTTTTTAAGTTTTTTTCTGCTTTTTTGCTAAACAGTAAATTTCAAAATTCATAGTTGACAAGAACAATTATATTTTAGTATGAAAAATATTTTGATAAAAGAACTTTATAGAACCATAAAACCATCATCAATTTAGGGCAGCTGTGGCAAAAACACTTACATTGGGTGGTGGTCCACTAAATTTGTTAGTCACTGTGCATCATTCGGTTCTGTGTCTCCAGGAAACTTATTTTAGGCAATAGAGAGATTGTTTTTTCTACAAATGGTACATGGTTTTTGTTTTCGCTACTATAAGATCAATGTTGGAGAGGAACGGAATACATGTACCGGTGTTCTGGGAATCTATCCTACCTCACAAACCATCCTACCCGTTGTTTCTGTGCAAACGCTGTGTATGGGCATAGCACAAACCCCTAATTTACATCATTTTTTTTAGCCCATTGTGAATATTTCTTATGGTTATGGTTAGGTTTATGGTTAGGATTAGGGGTTGGATTAGTCAGAAGTCGCCGGCAAATTTAATATGAGTAGGACGATTTGCCAAAGTAGGACTGTTTCTCAGAACACCGGAGTTACATATTTTCCTGTTTCATATCTTATGCTATGCCCTTTCTAAGTTTTTGGTAATTCCACACCGGTGGAAACCCAAACAAAACATACATTAACAGGCTCTAATGCCTGTGTCTCAATCTTGCGGCCCATAATGAGGTGAAGAAATATTTTTAAAAATTATTATTCAAAAATTATTTAATTTGAAGGAGATAGGCAGAGTGTTACAGGCATAGCCCTAAAGAATGTGGCCTCATGGGCAGTGTAGTCCGTGCTGCAGCGAGAATGGACTGCCATACCCGTTATGTGTCTGTGAGCGAGGGAGGGAGAAAAAGGAGAATCGAAAAGTATGTGCTGTCACAGGCCAGAAATGGGAGATGGAGGCATGTACATATAATAATACACACTGCAGCCAAAAATAGTGCCTGCCTGTAATCTGTTGTGGAATACATTTTAAAAGTAACCTTCCCAACACTGAATAAGATGTAACAACCACCGGCTATCAATCCTGGCGATGGGTTTTTCCAGAGCCTCTGCCCTTGACTGCTGCCCAATATACATTGCACCAGACCTCTATGACACCTCCTGTGGGTGGTGGGCCTACTAGAGGTGTTGTAGGGATCCAGCCAAGTCCTCCTCCAGGTGTCTAATTTCCTGGTTAAGGATTAACTAAATGCTGAGATATGCTGAGTTTTCAGCTCAAAGTTTTCTTGGGAGTCACCTTGTTGGTGCAAAAGTAATATTTATGTCTGTCAAACTGTGTTATCAGTTGGTGCATTTATTACAGATTCGACAAAAGAAATGGAAATAAATGACATGTTTTTGCCACAGCTTGGAGAACAATTGTTCAGCACCATGCTTGTAAATAATTGAAAGAGTCTGTAGAAATCACATATATTAAGAAATGAGGAGTGGCGTTCAAACTTTTGCACATGGTTGTAGACGTGAAAAATAGTGTGCTGGATGCATAAGTTACATTTAGACAGACAGATTACCTCTGTGCAGGAGAATGTTGTCCGTTAAAATGAACCTCAAAATCCTTTGAGCTGTTGCTCATTAAAGATGCACAGGTTGGTTCAGGTCCACATTTGATTTTCTGATGGATTCTGAAAAAATATTAAAACTTCTTCATTAAAAATGTCACCGCACATAAATGGATGATAAAACAATTTTGATAGTTATATTAATTACATTTTATCATTTGACTGTCTTTGTTTAAATTTTGTAATGATACCCTTGGACCGGTCGCTCTTTATGGATGGACAGCTGGGTTCAGGTCCAGGTTGGTTCCTGTGAATAATGATGGAGCAGTGATGTGAATGCTAAGCTGTGACATGGAGAAGAGTCCTGGACAGTTAGAGATGGTCATCTCACCTCTGAGCTTTGGTCTGGCTCTCATGTTCCCCACACAGAGTGGTTTTAGAGGGAGGGACTCCCCCCTCTCTGTCCTCACACTGATCCATGCTGCTGAATTCACATCCACATCAGCTTACACACACTTTCTACCTTCACCTGCAGAGGAAACACAAATCATTCATGTGCACATCAACTGAAATCCTTTCCATCATGTGTGCTGTCCATTTATCAGCTACTTCTTTTCTGCTTCATCTCAGTCTCAGCTGAATGCAGTCAGACAGCAGTGTGAGGCAGATTAAGCTGCCATCAGCGGCTCTACTTCTACTATCAGTCCGCTAGATGGAGGCATGAAACACACACAATGCATTCACTGACACATTCGCAGATGTGATTTGTTTTCAGTCTATTAATATTCAATTAAAGTTGCTCAAACACGGCTCGAATCACAGAAACAGATGGAAATACGGGGGAACATCATGTGACAGAGTTTAGTTTTCTTCTTCAAACAGGTTTAACAGGAGTTTTTAATGATTTGGGATGTTAAGTACTGCATAGTCATCAGTTATTGCAGACCTTCCCAAAGTGTGGGGCCCGCAGAGCCATTGGGGGGGGGGGGCTATGGAAAGAGGGAAAAAAACCCCAAACAATGCTTGAACACTGCTAGAACGGGGCTCCCACACAAACGCAAAGGAGGAGATGAAGCATAGCTGAATATGTTTCCAAACCAACTTCATTGTAAGCCAAAGACTAGAAAATATGGTGAAGCATATCTGCCCTCTGGTTTCACCTGCACAAGTGCCAAGGTAGGTCTCCTCTGCATAATTGGGTTTCCCTTCGTGGGGAGCATGGGCTGGGCTGTTGAAATCACGGACAAACAGCATCCCACTTTCTTGATTTTTTGTTCACAAACACTTGTTGTAATGACTAACTACTCCTGACATTTTGGAGATGTTAGCTCTTTATACAGTAAAGTTACAGTGGGATACAAATAATATCAGGCTGATCCGGCCACAATTTGTTCCCCTGGTTCAAATCAAAGACAAACAGTATTCTACAGCTGTTTATGTTTTTGAGCCATTTTGCACAGAGAGGCATTTTTGAAAAATGTATTGATAGCAATATTGAATATTATTACACAGGAAAAAAAAACAACTACACATAAAATAATCACACTCTGCCTTTCTAAATAGAGGGACAGTAACTGCGTGTGTATATGTAAGCATGTAAAACCTGTAGATAGTAAGATTAACAGTATTTTGTCTCTATCTGCCATTCTGCAATTCATTTCATGTAAAGAATAACGTGGCGCACAGCGTGACGTGAAAAAAGGCACATACCTTTGATGTTGCGTAACGAACTTTTTTATACAGGGAATATAACAGCACAATTTAATAACAGAACAACATTGGGAAAAACAAAATCAAACAACAAGATTATACAAAATCAGGCCTTCCATTTTGTATGTAGTTCAACCATTTCGACCAATGTTCTTTAAAAAAGAGCACCTGTGACTTCAGTCTAAAAGTTATTCTTTTCATAACAAATATAATGTATATCAAATCAGTCCACTCATTTGTAGTATCTTCACTAAACCAACGATTGGCTTTTAGAAGCCACCAACAGCACACTGAGCATATTTTTATCCGATTTACACAATTTAGGACTCTCTAAGTTTCCTAAGTACAGTACAGTGAAATGAATTTTATTTATTTATTTTTAAAAAAAGACTGTGTCCAGGACCTTATTTATTTCCTTCCAAAATGGTGACATGAGAACAATCCCAAAAAATATGGAAGTGATTTGCTACTGCGTGCTCACACAGCCACCAGAATGTTGTCTGTTGAGAATCTTTGGATTTCTGCGCTGGGGTACAAAAGTAACAAGTTACATTCTTCCAGCAGAATTCCCTCTATGAGGGGGAGCTTGTTACTGACAACTGCTGCATACAGATTTTATCCCATTCCTCTCTTGATAAGGTTAGATTGCTCTCTGTTTCCCATCTTGTTTTTACATTTTCTCTATCATGACCCTTTAGATTGGTCAGTGATGAATATAATTTTGAGAGAAGTTTTTGATAGGGTGCATCCTTATATGCATTCTCGAATATATGAATAATTTCTTCATTCCCCATCAGTAACTGGGGATGATTTAATTTTTTATTCAGAAAACCCCTCAGTTGCAAATATAAAAAGAAATCTTTTTTTTTTTTTTTTTTCTTTTTTTGCCTGTCCCATTTGGTTCTTTAGCCGTCAGAATTGTTGTCTGAAGACCAACAAGGATACCCAATGGATTTATTTTGCC